CTCCTAAATTCCTTCCAGAGGAACTTTTTTTTCCCCATGAAATGCCTATTAACATCTGTTAGCACACAGGGCAGGAAACAGTGCCTTTAAGGAATATTTCTAAATTACAGCTTCCCAAAGCTGGTTTTATGATATTACAGAAAGTCAAAAATTAACTGAAGTGTCAAAAGATATATAAAATCATATTAATTCACTTAAGACTATATATAAAACAGTTCTTGAGGGTTTTCAAATTTCAAATGGCTCCAAAATGAAATGTCTTTGTGAAAAATACCCTATTCTGGAACATTCTGCTTATTTAACATAAAAAAGGGAATGAAGTAGATTGGTAGCACAAAATAAGTGCTCAAATACTTCAACTGTAATTTAGTGTAACTAATTCATCCTTATGGAAATGGGAAATGGAAAATTTTACAGCTGCATCCCCAGGTTGAAAGCATTTTTTGTTTCTCCCTCTTTCTCCCCACCTTGTGGTTATATTTACATAGTTAAAATCTAGTGTACAGGTGCTGGGGATTTACCTCAGTGGTTTCACCGCCTGCTGCGCAAGCCCAAGGACCCAAGTTCGATTCCCCCGGTACCAAAAAAAAAAAAAAATCTAGTGTACAAAACAATTCAATGTATCTATGAAAAACTATGCATGCTTGCTGGTTATCAGATACTTTCTTTAAAGTATGATACAATTCTTTTAAAGTTACAGATAAATGGTAGACACACAAATTGTCTCCATAAAGTTCAAAGATGCTTTCCTTTCACACAGTGGAAAAAAGTTTTTTCTCCATTTGTAATTCATCTTTACATTCTTTTTGTTTGATACAGATTTGTACTGTTTTGTGACGTAGCCCAACCGACCTCCAATGCTGCTTGACAAAGTTCCAGCTGGGGGAAAGAAAGGGTGGAACACATCGTACACTCATGTTTTATTTTTTCTTGCCATAATGTTTATAATTGTTATTCTGATCACAGGAGTCACTGTGTTTGTGACTAACAACAAACTCTCCTTGAGGCA